TTAACCTGTCTGCCTCTGAAACACAAGCATGACACTGACCTTATCCCCATTGACCAAACCCCACTAACGTTAGATGATGGTATCAGTGATGAGAAAGTGGATTGCTTTCATATCTATAAGCCATATTGGCTACTAGGACAATTAGATTACCTCAGGGCGAGGTACCATAAACAGTGGTCACCGCTAACGGCAAGTGAAAAGCTGGTGGTTTGAGMAATCAATGCTGCTGGTTTGGAAGAGGCAAAGATTTATATGAAATTGTGGTAGTGCTCCTCAGTACCAAGAGCTGGCAGGGATGTAGAAGACAACATTCCCAGCAGGAGAAGGTAGGCAAATGGAACTAACAAAGCCTGCACTGGTGCACCATCCTGCACATGCAAACTGGTATTGGAGAGAGTCTCATGCTCACACACACAAACTTTGGTATTCCAACGTTAAGAAAGCTTTCACTAAGGCAACTGGTATTAATCTAGCTTTTARCAAGATGTTAAAATTCTCAGGGGAAAGAAGTTTGATCTAATGTCATGGGATATGATTAATGATCCAGATACAGTTCTCACACAYGTGACTTAATGGTGAGAACTGTACAAACAGAATGAATGTACATTTTGACAGTACTCCCTGACAACTACTGATGTACCAAAAGTTGTTACCAYCTCACTTAGAAGCAGTATCAGAATGCAACAATATTGCTAGATATATCTATMTACATGTATACATATGCACACATACAGATTATTTTATATATATATACATACACACACACACACACAGATACCCCTACATATATGATGCAAGCACCCAAAAGAAACATGCCATTGGAGCTGTACTTTAGAAAACCAGTGCATAGGAAGTAGCCCCTGTTCAAGTGCTCCATAATTTTGGTTGCCTTGGTTAAGCAGCCCTGTTGGCATTTAAGGCAACRTCATTCAGTAAGAATGCTCTCACTCCRTAACAGAGTAAAACCCACTGTTGTACTCTCATGAACAGTTTTCACTCTGCACTTSTGTTCAAACAGTATCGAAATTAAGCTCTTGGTCCACCCAGCTGCCAAACCAACCAACAGATGAACTGAATTTCAGATGTGAAACCTGTCCATTCCAATGTACCATCACTAACCATGTTTCAAGTTCTTGGCCTTACAATGAAATCCTGAAATTAAATACTGAAGGCCTGTCAATGGCRCATCTTAATGTCAGTGCTGCCTGACTTCATGTATCAGCTCACCTGACYTAGAAGCTGCCAAGAAGTACAAAAATTTTTCAAAGTCTCTGGACCAGCTCAAGTATGGAAAGTAAACATGACATGAGAAATAAATCAAAAAGTGGAAATACTATACAAAAGAGGTAGTCAGTGTGAAAAAAAAAAAAAACAAACAACCTAGTCATAATGAACAGGTCACAAGTTCTTAAGTGACAGCATGGTGACCTCAAAAATACCAGTTTGGTTTTACCTTGCACAGGCATTGTATTTCAATGGAGATAAAAAACCAAACACTGTCCTCTCTCCACTGCCTTGGCCTATCGCACTACATTTGGGTCACTTCTGGAAGAAATGCCAACACAAGCGAGTCTCAGAGGCTGATTTTACAAAACAAGCAAATCTCCCTTCTATGGCAAATMAAAACCTAATTTTACTGTCAGAAAGGCAGCTTGAAAGGGATGTTAGGGAAAAAAAAAAGTGGTATTTGATTCAATTAGTAAGTAGAAAACCCAAGGCAATCTGCCTTTCTTCTCACCTTGTCCATACCAGAAAACTGGATTCCTAGGTAAACGGGAAAGCTTTCTACACCTTAGAGGCAACAATATTTTTCCATTCAAAAGAATAAACGATTTGCCATATTCATCAGATACACCTCAGCTTCCTCTCTGGACCACAAAACAAATACAAGAGAACAGGTGACTGACTTATCAACACATTGCAAGATGTCCTATGCAAGCTTGACAGAAAAAGCCAAAAGAATAGAAAAAAAATCAAACTATTCCACAGGAAAGTCTACAGCCACTGACCTGAAAAAAAAAAAATCCAGTTTAGCTGGAGAAGCAGCTAAAGAAGTGGTTAAAAAAATATTAAAAATAGAGCACTGCTACTAGCCCCTTCATAAGCTCCTTTCCCATGTTAAATTCAGACTTGTAAGACCCTTGAAACCATGAAAATCCATTCCTACCTAGCTAGTCAACACTATTTAAGAGAGCAACACCATTTTTCACTCTTTTCAACAATTTTGCTGCTGCAATAGAGAAAGACCTTTGTTTTCCCTCAGTTTCTACCATTTTAGGTTCTCTTTCCTACTAATTAACTTAAGTGCATTTGTCTCTACCATTTCTGGCATGCAGCAACACGACACTGGCGTGATTCTTGACATTTCAACTGCTTCTCACAGACCTGCATTAAAATCAATGAGTTTTGTCAACTTCATCTATTCCCTAATTAACAAGGGTACATCCAGCAGCACAGGCAGCAATGCCTTCTGTTTGTGTACTCAGGAAGATGACTTTGCATCAATTTACACATTGCTTTAAACAGGAGTTGATCTTTACAGCCATATCATGACTATGAACTTAACTCCCATAGCACCATTTTAGTGTCCTTCAGGGCTTAATAACAAAAGTTACGCAACTCAGCACTGTAAAATTTTCATTTATCCAACAAAAATGAGTCTTGATTATAAAAATCAGATAAAATTCACATAAAAATGTAGGCTGCATGCTTAAAAGTTTCCTCCATAACAGAAAGGAAAGCCTCTATGCTTAGATTTAGATTAGAAGAGAACTACTCCACAGGATAYAACCCAGGTTCATACTACCATTGCAGATGTGTTTAAACTAAGCTTCCCCTTATTCTTAACTTTATTAATTGGAAGTTTGCTCTTCTTCTATTCATTTGTGTCTGCAGAAAAACACTTGAATCATAGGCAATTACTTGACATTTTGAAGATATTTTGAGATACTTGGCTTTCACATCACAAAGGTTTATTACTTCACATAGCATTTAAAAACAAAGCAATTCCTTGTTCTCTATCCACTATTCTGAGCCACGATTTGTGAATGGATTACATTTGCGGGTGGGGGGGGGAGAGGAGTGAGGGGGGAAAAGSCAACAAGAAAAGAGGAAGTTGCGCTTTTGAAACTATCAAAGTGGAATGCAAGCTTTGCAGAGAAGTACAAATTCAGCAACGATTTTGGATGAAGCTTAACACGGAACATCTATTGTGCATTTCAAAACGAAGCACCTCCTTCCTTCGTGCAATTAACAMTGAGACCCAGAACATAAAATTTTAAATTAAAATCTGTCAATTCATTATTCTAAAGTTATCTGTCGCCTACCCTACTTCAAGTTCTAAAAATCCCACGGACCCCCGGGATGAAATAACCAGTAAAATAAAAATTAATTGTCAAGTTTTTGCATTAAAAAAAACCCTGCCCCAAGAAGTCTTGTCATCTTTCACTTCGCCTTGCTGCAAGGAACGAGTGCAGCATTTCTTGATCTCACGCATAAAATGGTTTCAGTCCCCTCCAACAGGGAAAAAGAACAGACGGCTTCTACAGGAGGGAACGCAATCTTTAGAAAAATCAAGATGTGTAGGAAACAGCAAAAGTCCTTRGGCTCAGAAACGCAGCTTCGAAACACCTGGCAGTAAATCAATGTCACCCATTTCRCCGTAATCCCTCAAGTCACTTTTATGAAGATTACTTCCTGCAGTGCATTCCTCACCCTGCTCCCTCCCCGGCCGACAAGGACTCTAGTAAAGACCACTTCGGGAAGCTGCACAGCACATACGGGACCGRCGCCGCGACAGCAGGACCCGGACCGGGGCGCGGGTCACGCCTGGCACAACTGTTTCGCTACCAGCCCCYGATTCCTGCCCGCTCCCGGTTCCCTGCCAACGCCACAACTTTCCCCGTGCCCCTCAGAGAGTCCTGCCGCAACTCCAAGGGATGCGGGGGAAGTGCCGTCGCCCCGTTCCCGAGGTCTCCGCCGCGGGGGACACCCCAGCGCTCGGCACTGCCGCTCTCTTCAGGCGCTTTCCTTCTCCCGCGCCGCGGCGGCGACTCCTCATGCTCCCTCCGACCTGCCACAGCGTGTCCCGTCCGCACCACCTCCCTCCCTCTCTCGCTGCCTCCCTCCCCGGCTCCCGGAGCGGCCGTGGCCGCCGGCTCCCTCCGGGAAACAGGCAGGGGCGCAACTTCGCGGAGTGGCGGAGCGGGGGGCGGGCGGCGGGGCCCTCCCGCCGTCCCCGCGGCCACGGTGGAGGGAACCCGCGGGTCTCCCCCGCCACGGCTCATGGCGCGGTGCTTTCCCGCCTCCCCGTCCCGCCCGGCGGTGGCGGCGGCGGCTCACCAGGGGTCGAACTCGTGGATGATGCTCTCGAAGCGGATGACGGCGAAGAGCCGGGAGCTGAATCCAGCCAGCCAGGCCAGGAAGAGGATGGTGAAGGAGAGCAGGGACTGCCAGCCCGCCGGCTGCGATAGGCCCCCCGACAGGCCGCCGCCCGCCCCGGCGCGGCTGTGGAGCGGCGCCGCGGAGTTAGCGGCGGGTCTGTGCTTGTGGTCGGGGGCCGAGTGCTCCGCCATGTTGTACCCGGGGCTCCCTCGCAGCCTCTCCCTCCGCCCGGCGCGTGCGGGGAGGAGGCGGCGGAGGAGGGGAGGAGAGGAGGGAGGAAGGGCAAGGGGCGGGAGGCTCGGCAAGAGGCGGGGCGGAGCCCGCCCGTTCTCGCTCGGCGCTCCTCGCTGACTCCCCGCCGCCTCCTGGCGCACCCGGGCTCTGCCGCTGCCTCCTCCTCCCGCCGCCGCCGTCACCGTCCCCCGGGGAGGGGGGGCACCCGGCGCGGCGCGCGCGAGCCCGGGGGGCGGGGCCGGCGRCAGGACGAGGGGTGGGGCCAAGAACACGGAGGGGCGGGGCTCGAGGCGGCCCGGGGCGCTCGCGCGGCTCCGAAGGGCACCGGCGGGGTGGGGAGAGGGGCTCTGCCAGGACGGGGCTAAGGCCGGGACCCAGGCGGGAGGGGAGGGGGCGGATCGCGTCTTCCTTCCTCCCTCCATCCCGAGCAGGCGGTTTGACATTGCCGCCCCTCCGGAGCGGGCGGAGCTATCAGGGGAGGGCGGGGCTCCCAGGAGAAGGCGAGGAGGAGGGACCGATCCTGTCCGGTAGCGCCCTCCTAACAGGAACTCCGGTGACGGCCTGTCACGGAGCGACAGGTATTTAAAAGGGGCGGGGTCATGCTCCAGCAGCCAATCGGAGCGGCACGGCCGCGCGCACAGGGGGGCGTMGCTCCCGTTGCCCGACGTTGGGGCAGTTGATTGGCAGCGGTTTGCTCCAATCGAAGTGMGACATGCAAGTCACGTGGGCGCCCCCCGGCGCCGCGCCAGGGCGCTGCGGTGCGTGCGGGCCGGCGGGGCGGTGCCGCTCCCGGCGTGCTCTGGGGCGGCGCGGCGCGGAGCGTGCCGGGAGTTGTAGTCCGCGGGGCGGGGGCGCGGCGAGCCCTCGAGTGTGTGGCCGATAAGTCCGTTTGTTAGGAATGTTTATTTGTCCCGGTGGATACTGCGTTGGTCGCACTGAGGGACGTGGGAGAGCTTCGCCCTCATGCAGTTGAGAGGAGTAGATGGGGGCAGGGTTAGGGAAAGCCCTGCGTGTGCCACTTGCCTCAGCTGGGAGCGCTTCTACAGTGCATCAGTTAGGTCGGAAGAGACCTTYGAGATCATCGAATCCAACCTATGGACGAACTCGACCTTGGCACTAGGTGCCACATCCAGGCTTTYCTTAAWCCCTTCCAGGGATGGTGACTCCACCGCTTTGGTCAGCCACAGAGATTGCTGTCGTTATAAGGAGAAGGTGAAGAAAACTGAAGGTTTCCTAGGTTGCACAGTCAATGCTGTTTGAGTGGTTGTGCTGGCCTTTTTTCTACCCTGAGATGGCAGGGGACAGCCTTCTTCTCGAAAAGGTTTACAAAGCACAGGCAGGATAAAAAAGTGCATGGCTCATTGAACTGTTCACACAGACAACATTTTCTGACTTTTATGTGGGCCTTCAGTTTTGAAATGAAATAGCTTGGTGATTGTTGTCTGAGGTCTGGGCATTCCCTTGGGTGCTCAAACATGGCTCTTCAAAAGTCCTGAAGGCTTGCAGTTCAATTTCACTGATATRGATGGGGACTACACTGGGCCTTAGTTGGCTAATACAATTTTAATTAGTCCTTGCTGTTTTCTCTAGTTTTATTTTGTTTGACAAAAGAAGAAAACAGAACATTTCTTTTTATGCACAATGAAAACCTTTCTATTATAGAATCATGGAATTATTTGGGTTGGAAGGGATCTTAAAGATCATCCAGTTCCAACCCCACTTCTACAAACAGAGGTATCTTCCACTAGACCAGATTACTCAAAGCCCCATTCAGCCTGGCCTTGAACACTTCCAGGGATGGGGCATCCACAAATTCTCTGGGCAATCTGTGCCAGTGCCTCACTACCCTCACAGTAAAGAATTTTCTTCCTAACATTCAAGACCTACTCCCCCTCAGTTTAAAGCAATTCCCCCTTGTCCT